CTGGCAGGGCCTGGCCACAGTCAGGATGTGGGGGGAGCAGAGGAGGGAGGGTTGGAAGCAGGCCAGGAAAGGACATGCCCCATAGACACGCCAACAAGCCCCATCCAGGCCCCAGGCAGTTCTGGGGTGCCTTGTGTCCCCCATCCCACTGCCACGCGCTTCAGGTCGGCCCCTCATTGCCGCCCCTCTCTGGGCAGGTGGAACCGGAGACAGCGGCTGTGATTCAGTGGATCAGCAGCTACAACTTCGTTCTCTCAGCCAACCTGCACGGTGGCGCCGTGGTGGCCAACTACCCCTACGACAAGTCGCACAGCCAGCGGGTGCGTGGCCAGTGGACCACTACCAACACACCCACACCCGATGACAAGCTGTTCCAGAAGGTGAGCGGGGCCTGGTGCGGGCAGCCCTGGGCCGGGGCTGTGGGGGGCAGGGAGTGCGGCGGAGCTGGGCAGGCCAGGCCAGGGCAGGGCATAGCGGTGCCCCGCAGCGCTGCCGACGGCATGGTCGGTACCACTCCCACACGTAGGGGCTCCTCATGGGGCCCGCACCCTGTGCTCGCCAGGCTGCAGCACCTCGAACGCCTGCTGTGCCAGTGTCCTGTGTCCTGCCCTGCAGCCCCCTGCTATTCCAGCCCAGGCTCTCCACAGATGTGCTGCATGGCTGCTGGAGCCCCCCTTGCAGCACTGGGGAAGCACTGTAGTGCACGTCCATGCCAGCATGCATGTGGGGCTCTAGGGGAGACAGGTGCCTGGTGGCAGTGCAGGGCTGGGGGAAAGGGGGCGAGTGATTTGGCTGGAACTGAGCCCCATCGGGAGAGCAAGTGGCAGCAGGGGGTGGGTGAGAGCCAGGCATGGGCTGAGGTTGCAACCTCCCTTGCCAGTGCCCATGCATCTGATTGTTAGCATGTCCCAGCAGTCAGCAGCTCGATCAGCCTCACCCACCCCTTAGGAAGCAAAGCAGCATAGAGGCCTCCGGGGAGCAGCCGTCCTGGCTCCATTGCTTAGACCAGGACCCTGAGCACAAGAAGGCGGCCAGGAGCATGCTCTGCTCTGGTCTGGGGAGCCCACGGCTTGGCTCGAGGGTAGGGGAGTTCCACGAGAGCTGGGCCCCAGAGGCTTACGGAGCTGGCTGCCAGTGGCTTGAGGACCTGCAATGCAGCCAAGGGGACTTGGGGCATCTGAACCCAGCTGTCCCTTGTGTGAGGGGACAATCTGGAGCAGTGTCTGAGCCACTGCCTCAGCCCAAGGGCCTCCGTCCTCATTTCTGATGGAGGTTTCCTGCGAGGACACAGCTTTCCCCTTGGAAAGGGCCTGGGACAGTGTTTCGCCCTGGTGCTGCTGTTTTGCTCTCTTTCCACCTGTCTTCCAGGGCTCACCCCACCTGCCCCTAGTCCCCCAGAAACGCATCCCCCTGGGGCAGATGTGGACAGCCCTGGCTGTGCAGTAAGACCCCCCACTCGCTCTCCTGGGGGTGCTGCAGCTCCCTGTGCCCATCGGGACCCCAGAGGCTTCCTGCTGGGGGCAGCCCTTGTGGAGGGGGGGGCTAGGGCAGGGCTCCTGTGCTGGTGATGGGAGGAACAGGGGTTGGGCTGGGCCTGTTTGCCCCCTCTCAGGGTTAGCAGCACTGCTGCGACTCCTGAGGGTCCCCTGTGTGCAGGGGATAAGGGACCAAGGAGCTCAGGGCAGCGCTGGAGCTGTGACCCACCTGGGCTCTCTCTGCAGTTGGCAAAGACCTATTCCTATGCCCATGGTTGGATGCATCAGGGCTGGAACTGTGGAGACTACTTTGCAGATGGCATCACCAACGGGGCATCCTGGTATTCTCTCAGCAAAGGTGGGGCTGGGGATGGAGGTGAAGGGTGTATGCAGGGCTGGGAGGGTGGGGTGCTGGGCTGCAGAAGGGACAAGGGGACAAGCAAGGCCTGGGAAGGGACATAGGCTGGGGGGGAGGCATGGACAGAGCAGTGGGGAGAGGGCACGGGTGCTCAGACAGGAGTGCAGGGAAGCGCAGACATGGAACAGGAGATGAGTGTCTGGGCCACGGCGCTGCTGGGCAGGGCCTGGGCCTGCTGCATCTGACTCAACGCGAGGCAGCAGCGTGGTGAGTGGCATTAACGGAGCGTGAGGCACAGACTGAGCTGGTGACAGTGCCGCTCTGCTCAGTGCTGGCCAGGCCCCGTGTGCAGTGCGAGGCTCTGCATGTTCAGACGGCGGCGGGGCAGCCGTAGGAAGGTGGAGAGCAAAGGGCATGGGCAACTTGGAGATTTTGCAGCCATAAAAGAGGGGGAGCTACTGTTGGTCCTTGCCACATGGCACCTTAAGTGGCAGTAAAGTAGCTTCCAGTTAGGTCTCAGCAAAGCCCTCCCACCTGTCAGTGCCTGGTTTCTGTCACAAGTGGCCTTGAACACAAGCCGTTGCTTTACCTGGTATTTAGCTTAGACTGTTTCTGAGTCTTTCTTTCCCAGCCCTGAGGAAGGACAGCAGGTGCCCAAAAGCTTGTGTAGCATCTCTCTCAACTTTGCAGTTGGTCCAATAAAAACCCCTTTGCTTATCCCATGTCGGAGCAGTGGGGCTGTGCCGGAGGTGCCCAGGGGAGTGCAGGGGTCCTTGTGGGAGGTTTTTCAAGAAGAGGCTGGACAGGGATGGCTTAGGCCTTCCAGTGCCGTGACACCATGTGTCCACCTCGCGACGACTGTCTAGCCTGCGCTTCCCCGGGGAGAGTGTCGGGCAGGGCTGTGCCAGGAGCCCTCTGCCCCGCCGCAGCTTTCTGAGCAGATCACGGCAGAAGAACCTCTCGTGTTTTTCCTTAAACAATGAGTGAGTGCTCGGAGCTGGCGTTTCTAAACAGGGCGAGAACCACTGACCTAGTCCCATCCCCAGGACTGAATCCTCTGCCTGTCAGGACAAGAGACCTGTCCCAGAAAGGGGCTGCCATGCGCGGGCAGGAGGGGCTGGGGGACAGGGCAGGGCTGCTGGCCGTCGGCAGAGGAGGGCAGGTGGGTGGGGAGGGGGTGTCACGTGCCCGGGTGGGCCTGGCTGTGTCCTTGCTCTCTCCTCTCAGGCATGCAGGACTTCAATTACCTCTATACCAACTGCTTTGAGATCACCTTGGAGCTGAGCTGCAACAAGTTCCCGCCCCAGGAGGACCTGGAGCGCGAGTGGCTGGCCAACCGCGAGGCGCTGGTCGCCTTCATGGAAGAGGTGGAGTGCCCGTGTGAGCCCTGGCCCCGTGCTGTGGGGCTGAGAGCACCTGCCCAGCCCCAGCTCCCCCCACATCCGAGCACCTGGGGCCAGAGCTCAAGGGGGTAGGGGGACAGTGGACGTGGGGTAGGGAGGGAGCCTCTCGGCATAAACCGGAGCTGGCTCCCTTGGTGCTTTGGGAGACGGGCAGGCGGGCTCCTGCTATCTCATGCTCGGAGCTCTGTGCGCTAGCAAAAGGACTGCAGCGCCGGGAGCTTTATTAGGTGCCCGTATTCAGTGCTGCCACTGGCAGCCATCTGGTGCACTGTGCTTGTGTGCCCAGCACATGGAGCTTCCTGGCTTTTGCCCTTAAAATCATCACTCCTACAACTCCTGTTCCCACCTGCAGGTTCCCTGCAGTGCTTACACCCACGACCCATCTCCGCCAGCTGACCCTGTTTGGAGGGGAGGGGACTGGAGCAATGTCCTCGCTCCCAGACGGGGCCAAGCACTCTGCTCTCGAGGGAGGGGAGAGGCGCTAACCTGCATCTGCCTATCTGTCTGTCTGCAGGTTCACCAGGGCATCAAAGGGATGGTGCTAGATGAGAACAACAACGGCATTGTGGGCGCAGTGCTTTCGGTCCAGGGCATTGGCCACGACGTCACCTCTGGTGGGTCCCCTGGCACCGTGTGCCCTGACTCTCGGTGTCACCTCCACAAGGCCCTCCTGGGTGGCACGGGGTGGGCTGAACAGTGATGCATGTTGCCAGCACGGCCTGCCCTGGTCAGGCTCCCACCAGCACAGAGCATGGGGATGCTGTTAGATCCTGTGGGAGCAGGAAGGGCACCCCCCCACCCCCCCGAGGCTCAGTTTGGCAGTGCCGTGCCTGGGCTGCTGCCTGCAGATGTGCTGGGTAGGAGCTGTTAGTAACCCCGGTGGAAGGAGCACAGTGTGGGCTCTGGGCAAGCAATGTTGCACAAAGGACAGGTCAGACAGTGAGATAGATCTGCTGGTTTCAGTCTGTTGGCATGAATGGGCTGGCCAGGTGCATGCGCACCATGAGACAGAGCTGGGGGTGGGGGGAGCCTTGGATGTGAGCTCCAGGGGGCTGGAGCCAAGGAGAAGAGCAAGAACCTCAGAGTAGGAGCAGAGGGTAACAGCCGGGTGTGAGCAGGGGGCGACAGCAGGGCCGGAGCGAGCAGGGCACCAGCCACGTGCGAGTGAGCAGGGGGAACAGCCGGGCAGCAGCAGTGTTACTTCAAATTTTAACTGTGCGTGAGGTCACCCTATTGGCCGGTGAGACCGTTCCAGTCACAACTCGAGCTTTATTAGGATACACAATAGCAAACGCTTGTTGGTTCCTCTTTTTTTCTGAGCTGTGAAGAAGTCCGACATTTCTTCCAGCCTATGCCCAATTTTTATAGATGGCTAGTTTTAATATTCTTAGAAATGGTCTCCGATTAGTTTTGTGTAAGTGTGTTTGTTTCGCTAAAACTCTTGGAACTGGATTGAACCAGATCTTTTGTGGACTCGGAAGCTGTTAATTAGTTGGGATTTATATCCTTGGGAAAGTAAAGGTTTCTTTTTCCTTCCCCATTGGGGACTGCTGTTTAACACTGGCTTATTTCTCCTTTACCTTTGTTTATGGTTTTCTCCGAGGAGGCTGTTTTGTTCTTACAAATTATTTAAGCACTTTAACAAAAATATATCTATTTATAACAATATGGCATCTAATGCATCTGGTTACAACATTCCCCCTTTTTTTTTTTCATTTCCTTGTGTTATATTAATGCACATTATCGATCACTGTCTCCAGTGCATGCACAAGTCAGGCTTAGGGCAGGTTGTAATGAGACAACACGAGCCCGCCTTGCACAGGCCACAGCAGGGGTAACAGTTGGGAAGGAGAAGCAGCATTCCCGGGCAGGGCATGCTGAGAGCGTGAGAGAGAGCGTTGCTGGGTGCGGGGATCTGGTTCAAGTGTCTGCACTTCCTAGAGGCACTGACCTGCAGGAAAGAGCTGGGGGCAGCTGGAAGACAGCCCAAGCCATGAGAGCCACGAGCAGCTCTGTGTGCCTGGTTCGTCCAAGGGAAGCAGGGAACAAAGTGCTGTTTAATGTTTTATTGATGACGCACAGGGAAACAGACCCAGCCACACCTGGGTCTGCTGAGGGCAGAGATCGGGGGAGCAGTGCACGGCGGAGGGGACAGGCCATCGTGCAGAGGGGCTCGGGGGAGCCCTCGGAGAACAAGGGCAGGTGCTGTGCGTGTCAGTAGGGCCCTGCTGGAGTCTGTGGGGCTGGCAGGGAGCAGTTCATGAAGCAATTGGCAGCTGCCAGCCAGGATGTGAGCCAGAGGTTGCTGGGTCGCTGGCCTGGGGCCCAGCTGGGTGGGGGGCTCCTGGGCTGCACAGACCCCAGGGCCAGGCAGCCTGGGGAGCAGCGGTGCGGGGCCAGGCTGCAGCCCGGTGCTGGGGTCAGGCAGGCAGCTGCAGGCTCTGAGCACGGCAAGAGGGGAGGCTCGTGGAGGGAGCAGCGGGGAGGCTCTGTGGCCCCAGGCTTGGCTCAGGTGCAGCCACAGCAATGATTTGGGGCCTAGCTGCAGTGCCCATGCTTCAGGCAGGATGGCAACAGGGCAGCGAGGATGGTTGGGGCTTGTCCAGTGGGAGCTGCCAGGGGCTTGACCTGCCCAGCTCGTTAGGAACGGGCAGGCTCGTGGAGGCTTGGTCGCTGGGTGCTGGTTCGTATGCAGGAAGCAGGGGTTGTCCCCTATGGGACAACCCATCTCATCCCACAGACCATTGCAGACAGGATCATGCTAGAACTAAGATGCCATGGGGGTAACAAACCACTGAAAGGTCGTGCCTGGGGCTGGGTGGCTTCTACTTCCATGGCCGACTTGGAGCCAAAGCCAGATGCCTTTCAGAAGGCCAGTGCTCTGGCCAGGGCTTGCTGCTGCCCGCGGGCTGGCGAGGGTGCCCTGAATCACTCCCCCTGGCCTGACATGGGTGACTGCCACGTGCTTGCTTGAGAGCAGCGGTGCCCCAGCCCAAGCCCGCAGGGCAGGGAGAGGTGCGCGGGGCTGTGGGCTGGAGGCTGAGTCCCCTGCCGGCCTCCCGCCACCGCCCGTAGTACCTCTGCTGCCTTCGTGGCTGCGCTGCCATCAGCTGTCAGCCGTCAGCCCCCCGGCTTGGGGGAGAGGTCCTCGCAGACTGCACG